ACAATTCAAAATGATATTAGGTTAGAGATGTATGATGTTTGTCTGTACATCACCGGATTAATAATATTAAAGATAGTATTAATATATAAAATTAATGTTTTTTAATTTCAGTATTTTTTTTAATATTAGAAATTTTTTTGGGGTACTTTTTAAGTCTACTTAATCTAGAGATACTTAAAAATATAAATTTTGAGTAAAAATCATTTAAAAATTCACTAAATATAAAAAAAAAAACTCATATTTTTTTTAGTATTTATTAAAAAATTTAAATATTTATTTCACAAATAAATTATTTAAAAAATAATATTAAAAATATTTTAATCCATCTTATGTAATAAACTAACTAATGCAACTTTTGAAGGAAAAAAAAATCAAAATTATATGAAATTTCATAAATACCCTTCCTCTACCATTTTATTTGATGTAGGACAAAGGATATAATGGTCTTTCAACCATTAATCTTATCACTAGATTTTTAATCTCATGTATTTTCCTTTTATACTAGTCCAGTCAAGAAAGGGGATTGCTAGTCCCACCACAACTTTCCACAACCAAATACTCTCTGTGTAGTCCTCCCCCACTATTAGTCCAATCCTCACTCATGGAGCCAAACAAACATTAGTTTACATTTTGTTGACTCTTTGGGCTCTATTTGTTTAGGATGAAATAGATAGAAAGTGAGGGAAATAATTTATTTTTTTATTTTTTTAAAGTTTTATGAGTTTTTTTAATTTGAAAGTGGTGGAAAATAGAGGAAAACTAATTTTCTTGTAGAACCCATTTTTTTTTTTAATCAACAAAAGAAAACTTTATTGATGATAAAACTATAAGATGCAAATAGCATACAACAAAAAAAGAAGGGAGGTGCAATGAGAATCAAAGCTAAACTCAAAAATCCTAACTAGGTTGGCGCCAAAGAGCAAGCCCTATCATATGCCAGCACGCAGCCCAAGATTGGCGAGCGACCAGTCAAATAGCCAAAAAAGAAAAAAAAGAAAAAAGATAAAAAGTAGGACACCCCAAGTGCAAACTAGCCCTCATATTGCACATAACCACCCAATACTGAGAATAATTCCACAGCAGGAAGAGCTAACAATAGCTAGCAACAAGCACAGCAGCAGCACTAGCTTTCCAAATCTGCAACACTAGCTTCCCAACCAACAACTTGGACTTCCCCTTACAAGCATATCCTAATCAGAGTACCCCAAAGTAGCACAGCACACCAGCAACAAAGCAACAGATCTGCACCAGACAGCAGCATACAGGACACACAGAATTGCAAACACAACAATCCCCAAAAAATAAGACACAACCCTCCATCTCCAAAGTGACAGAATAGATATTACAGAATAGATAGCAGCAACAACAACTTTACTTTAAACAGTATCTGACCTGTTGAAGATTAGCCACCAAATCATGTACTGAAAATTGAAGATCCTTCCTATTGTTTGTCACCCACAATTCCACTCTAGTTTTTATTAGTTCAAGCAACTCATCAACCACTAAATGTTTACCATTAAACATCACCTCATTTCTCATCTTCCACACAGACCACATCAGAATTAGAGACACAACCTTCCATATTTTTCTCTCCGTTTTCTTCATCCTCACTCCATCCCACCATTGCAATACCTCAGCCAGTGATCCTGGTGTTGCCCACCATAGATCCCACCATTTTATCACACCAGACCATAATAACCAAATCTTTGGGCAATGAAGAAGAATATGATTTAAAAACTCTGTATCATTTCTACAAAACAAACATAGAATACTAGCATTATCATTTAGAACTCCAATTCAGAGCATGAAGACAGATGTTTTGATTCTACCAAGCCAAGCTAACCAACAGAAAAACTTCACCTTGGGAGGAGCGACATTTCCCCAAACCAACTCAAATATTCTGAGTGCAGAGTCCCTATCTTCCACTTTCCATCTCCAGATTGAAGCAACAGAAAACAACCCAGATGAAGATGTTGTCCACCTCAAGGAATCCTCCACTAAATCTCTAACACTTGGGGGCCTACAGCAGCAGAGCATTCAACCTCCCCATCTCTTCCATTTCCCAAGCAAACAAAGGTCTTCTAAACTCCAAAACCCAATTACTTGAATTACTCTTTTTCAGACTAATTTGGTTCAGAGAGACCTCATTCTCCACAGAAATATTAAACAATTTAGGAAACTCCTCTTTGAAGCTTATATTCCTAAACCACCTGTCACTCCAGAATTTAATTCTATTCCCATCACCAACCACAATGCTTGCATTTTCCTTAAAGAACTCCACTAGTAGTGGGTTAGAATAAGCAAGATTCATAATACTCTGCCGCAATGTAGAAACCACACTTGAACCCCTTTGAAATGGTAACCACCTCCCTCCAGAAGAACCATATTTACTGCAAAAATCAGTTTCCATAGTGACTTGTCTTCAACCCCATATCTCCACCACCATTTCAAGAGCAAGAAATCATTCACTTCTGAAATATTCCTCACCCCAAGACCACCATGGCTTTTGGGCTTAGTTACCACCTCCCAACTGACCATATACATTTTTCTTTTTATTTTTGAATCTCCTCACAGAAAAGCAGCTTGCAGCCTATTAATCTTCTTAACCACACCTTTAGGTACTTTAAAAATAGACATGTAATAAATAGGTAAATTAGCCAAGACTGATTTTTATTAAATTTACTCTCCCAGCAAAAGAAAGCAGTCTCCTCTTCCAAGATGACAGTTTCTTTTTAACCTTGTTATATTACTAGGTTCTTTGGATTTGCTCCAAGAGATAGCCCCAAATACTTCAAGGGAAGCTTCTGACTCATGCAATTCAATTTTACTGCGAACTTATGAACCAGATTATCCTCAACACCAATCCCACACACCACACTTTCGTGAAAATTAATTTTCAGCCCAGACATAACTTCAAAGCACCTTAGTATTCTCTTTACTGTTACAATCTCTTCTCAATTTGCCTCACAGAAAATAATGGTGTCATCCGCAAACTGTAAGTGAGAAATACATACCCCATTTGTTCCAACCCTGCCCCCTTTAAATAAACCAATTTCTTTTGCTCTTTCCAGTAATAAATTCAAACCTTCAACATCAATGTTAAATAGGAAAGGGGATAGTGGATCCCCTTGCCTAAGACCCCTTTGAGGAGAAAACTCATCTGTAGGAGATCCATTAACCAACACAGAAATCCTTGCGGATGTCACACAGCACTTCAACCAATTGATCCATTTGTCACCAAATCCAAAATTTGCCAACAAGGAGAATAAAAATCCCCAATTCATTGAATCGTATGCTTTCTCAAAATCAAGCTTGAGTATTATACCTTTCAACTTATTCACTTTCCACCAATCAACTATTTCATTCGCAATTAAAACCCCATCCATTGTAAATCTTCCATCTAAGAATGCCGATTGCACCTCTCCAACCACCCTAGGCAATACCTTTTTCAATCTCCTAGCCAACACCTTAGCCAGAATCTTATAAGCAGAGTTGACTAAACTGATTGGCCTGTAATCACCTAATCCATTTGGATTATCCTTTTTAGGAATCAAAGTGATAAATGAGCTATTGAAACCTTTAACCAACTTTCCATTAGAATGAAAATCATGCATAAGTTGTACAATTTCACCTTTCATCAATTTCCAGCATTTCTAAATGCAAGATAAATTAAACCCATTTGGTCTTGGGGCTTTATTGCCATCACACTCCTTCAAAGCAGCAAATTTCCTCTTCTGTCAAAGCTGTTTCAAGTTCCTCCACTTTATCCCTATTTGCAACAGACTTGAACTGCCTAGAAAGCTTTGGTCTATTGCTCCAATTTTCCGAATATACCCCTTTGAAGTGTCTAAACACTACTTGCCTTACCATATCGGGCTCCATTAAATACGGCCCATTTACTATTATTGAATCCAAAAGATTTTGACTTTGTCTCTTGTTTGCCATTACATGAAAATACCTAGTGTTTTTATCCCCTTCTTGAGTCTATTTTACTCTCGATTTTTGCTGCCACATCCATTGTAGAACCCATATTAGCTTATTTTTAATTTCTTGCAAAAAACACAAGAAAATATAATAAAAATTGAATATGTGAGTTACCTATATGTAACTAAAATTTTAAATTTTTATGTCTGTTTCTTATAAAATTTTCATTATAATCAAATGCTTGCTCTCTTTTATATTTCTTTTCTTTCACTTTCACTTTCTATCAATTTTTCTTTCTAATTGAATGGAGCTTGTTGTTGGCTTAAATTGTTAATTTTTTTTTTAGTTGCAACTTGTGTGTTGTTTTTTAAGCTTTTTATTCCTCTAGTCCCCTTTTGAAATTGTAGAATTTTCTGTGGTAGTGCTTTTATTCAGAACTTGGCACGTATTTGGAGTCCAATTTGAAATTCCCAAACCGATTGAAACATTTTACACATTGGAGATCAGATTGATACAAATTAAATATTATAGACCAAAATGATGCACGATTCATACTTTAAGGACCAAAGATGTAATTAACCTATAATTTCATGAAATTTATAAATAAAAAGTAGCTAAAAAAAAGATGGGAGAAATTACAAAAATAATCAAGAAAACAAAATAAATTATTATTTTTCATTTTTCTTAATTTAAACCCTAATGTTTTGATTTATTTTCAATATAAATAATCAGTCTATTTTCATTACGTAAAACCAATGAAATAAATAGTACTTTAGTTATTAAACTCAATGTAGGTGTACATAATTGTCCAAAATATATATTTTTCATTAGTTTAATGACTAAAATACTCTTTTTTTGTTGATTTTACCTAACAAAAAATAAACAAATGGTTTAAATTGAAATAAATAAAATATTTAAGATTTAAATTAAAAAAAAGAAGATTAAAACTCAAAATTTATTTTGATACAAATCAAATGTTAGATTTTTTTATTTTTCTTTTATAATTTTTCTAAAAAGATGTCACTAACATTTTAGATATTTTTAAAGTACCATAAAACTGCAAAATCTTAGAAGCTTCGAAAGGATTTTCATTTATTCCACTGATACAGATGCATTACATGGTTACAAGCTAACTCATGGAATATACAAATTCCATGACATGCTTGTGTTATTTCTACATTATAATATAAGCTTGTCCCTTCCAAATCTTTCGTATATAGTATAGCTTCAGACCCTGCAAAATCACAACAAGAGAGAGAGAGAGAGAGCAATCAGTGATGATATTTTTATCGACAACTATATTATTTAAATGCTTAACCACTAAAATACATGATTTAAAGAAATTTATATGCATTTTAGTTATGGTCCATCTTAGTGTATATATTATTTTATATGTGGATATTTGGTATGGTGGTGTAAGCCCGTTTTAAAGTATTTGGGTTTCTTAATGGAAGGGCCCAATGATTGTTTTATTTAGGCCCGATCCCCTCTCTTATCCTATTAGGTTTGTATATATTTATATATATGTAAATCAAAGGGTTGTCAGCCCAATTAAAACGACAACATAAAGATTAGGAGAATGAGGGGAAGAGCCGATACTAAAAATTTTCAATTGTGAAGACCATTCCTCATTATCTCATGATGATGACAAAATTAAACGGCACGTATTTAAATGTATTAAAATTTAGTTTAATTAGATTATTATGATGTTTAAATCCTGATATATAGATCTTGAAAATTTTACATGTGGTATCAAAGCTAATTATATTAGAATTAAAATCCATAAAGATTAAAGTCATATTAATTGTATTTTGATTCAGGAATCTCATACAATTTATTGTAATATATATATATATATATATATATTATTTGGATTCAATGAGTTTTCAAAGAAAAAAAATTGTATAAATTTCGTACTTGTTTGAGTGTACTAAATTACATGAATCTAAAAAAATTAAAAAATTTATTAAAATGTTTTAATATATCACTAAAAAAATGCATATTAAAAGCTTAAAAAACTGTTTTTGAAAATAGTAATGCCAGTGGCCTACAATTTAGACCCACAAAATCACCTATAATAATGTGGCAAATGAGTTAGATCTTATATCATTGAGTATATAATAATTTAAAAATTGACATCTATCCTACAATATCATTATAGGTCAAATTGTGAGAATTTTTAATGGATGTCAAACATTTTCCTTTTAAAAACTCTAAACCGAACATTATGTTTGCTTATTTAGTTTTCAAAATTAGATTTTGAGTTTTCAATTCATATTTTTATTTTTTATTTTTAGTGGATTTATTTAATATTTTGTTCAATTTTTTTTTTTTAATTTTGTAAATGTACTCAAAAAGTAAAATATTTGTAAATAATTTTTTGTAAAATTTAATAAATACAAAGAAAATGAAAATGTATTGATTTTTTATATTTTTGTATTTTGTAGTATTTATTAAACTTGTAATAACTTTTTATAAATATTATACTTTTTGAACATATCTATTTTTTTTAATTTTATTTTAAAAATGATCAAAATATTAAAAAAATACTAAAAATAAAAAAAATATGAATTCAAAAGTCAAAATATGATTTTAAAAATTGAATAGCTAAATAGAAGTTATGGGTAAATTACACTGACACCCCTGAGCTTTATATTTATTACAGTTCCCCCCTCACCTTTTGAAAATTACATCTCCCCCTGAGGTTTAAAGTTTCATTACAGATTCCCCCTTCAGCAATTTAATTTTTTTAAATACCAATTTTGCCCTCATTGGGTAAATTACATTGACACCCCTCATATTTTAGAAATTACAATCCTCTCCCTAAGGTTTAAGTAGCATTACCAATTGTCCCCTCAGTTAGTATTAGTTGAAAAAACAATTCATTGAAAAAAAAATTAATTGGAAAAAAAATTAATTGAAAATTTTTTTTGTTAGTAAAGTTTTTAAATTTCTGTTTAAAAACCAACGTAAGTTCATTTTTTGAATTTACGTTTTTTTTTTCAAATTTACAAACTGAGACAACCATTTATAAACAAAAAAAAAAATTATCAAAAAAGTTTTTATGACAATTTTTAAAATTTTTGTAAATATAAATTGAAAACCGAAAACGAAATGGTTACCAAATAGGTTTGATGGTAAAAATGTCGTAAAATTAACAAATAATTAAATAAGTTACCAACGTAAAAAATGACTTAATAAAAGATTCTTAGGTTATGTATGGTTTGATTTTTAGAAATTTTTTTTAAAAAAATTAAAATTTAATTTGGTTAATAAATAAAAAATAAAAAATAATTATCATTTAAGGGTAAAAAATAATTATCATTTTAACTTTTGGGTATATTATATACATACGTATAGTTGTTTCAATTTAATTTGTAAAAAATTATTTCTAACCACTCGAAAGATAAAATTGCTGAAGGGAGAATCTGAAATGAAACTTTAAACCTCAGGGGGGAGATGCAATTTCCAAAAGGTGAGGAGAGAACTGTAATAAATATAAATCTCAGGAGGTGTCAGTGTAATTTACCCTAGAGTTATTTATATCTTGAATGAGAGTTATGAGTAATAAACGAGCTGAACAGCTAATTGTTCAAGTTTGATTTAAATTTTTTTAATGTGTTTCAGAATATATTCAAATTTAATTTATTTACTTTATAAACTGAACTCAAATAAACTTTTAAAGAGTAAAACATAAGCCGGAATCAAACTATTTAGTTCATTTATCACCCATAAATAGAGTTAATTGGGCTTACTGATTCCTTTCCGAAGTACCAAAAGAAAAAAAAATTGGGCTTACTGAGTATATTTGATATTGATTTTGCCAGCATTGCGGTCAGCAACAATGGCGAAAGCATCTTGAGAGAGATCGATGGTTGCACGACAGCCAGGTGGACAGTAATCAACAACGGTTACTACTACGCTCTTACCAGTGCAAGGATGTGGCACACCCTTATTTGTCGGACCTGTACACGTCACCTTGTACTTTCTTCCACACGCCTTCTTTCCCCCTATGGCATCACTTGCCGCCGCTATCATTTTCCCTTTGTCTTGGTACCCATAACATGCAGATGCTGAAAAAATAAAATTAAAAAAAGATAATTGCAATTTTTTTTTTTTTTAAAATCTGACTCTTCTAACCATTTATAATTTAAGTAATTCAAATTTTCATATTTTGAGTTGTTTTTAATTTAAATTATTCGTCTATTTTCATTAACTAACACTACAATATTTATAAGAGTTTTTTAGACCAAGTTTTTTTTTTTGTCTTTAGAAGTATAAATTTTGTTGCAAAAAATATTTAAGAATTTATTTTAGTTATCGCGAGGACAATCGTTAACAGGTCGTCCCGAGAAGTAAAAAAAAAAAAAGAGCTTTTAGAGACAATTTTGAAAATGTCACTAAAAAGGAACAAAAAAAAAAGGTTTATTTTTTTAGACAAAACTTTTGGTCCTAAAAGCTTAATAATTCATCACTAAACATCCAATTTTGTCACTAAAAACAAAATAATAACACTTTTGGCGAGAAAAACAGTTTGTCTCTAAAAAGTGATTTTATTCTTAAATTTTTATCTCTAAAACCTTAATTCTTGTAGTGTAAATCGAACCAAAAAATTGCATTTTATTCATTAAACTCAATGTAAATATAAAATTCCTAAATATATATATATATATTTGGGTAGATTTTACATACAAAAATAGATAAATGATTCAAATTAAAAATAAATTAAAGATTTAGGATTTAAATTGACAAATTTAAAATTTTAAGATTTATTTTATTATAATAGTCTAACCTGATTTTTATTTTTGTAATTTCCCAAAAATAAAAGCGTTTTTGGTTACAAATCTTAGAAAGTAATTTTAAACGAGTTTTCGTTTGCTTTCACTAATTTTTTTTTTTTCATATTTTAGTCAATTTTTTATTTTTATTTTGTAGTTACATCAAGATTAGATACATTTAAAAAGTAAAAAAAATAAAATTGACTAAAATATGAAGAAAAAAATTTCACTAAAAACAAACAAAAACTCCAACAAAAATACACACAAATTTGTGTTCAAATTTTCGTATATTTTTAGTATTTTTTAAGGATTTAGTTAAGAGGTATATTTTCTTACTTATCTTCTACAATGACTAGTCATTTGATTTATCTAATATTATATTTCAATTTTGTTTATAGTTTTTTAATTAATTGTCTTTAAATTTTTTCAGTAAATTTTTTTTGTAACTTAATTAATGAATTATTTGGTTTTATTATTATTTATTGTGAAATATTATTATTTAAATTATTTTATTATATTTTGTCAGTATATCAATAGTCGTATTTGGCAAAACTGAGAAACCAGACTCTAATACTAATTTAAACACACATTGAAATAAAACACTTTTTCAAAACAAAATAGAAATTCAACATCTTTTTAGAATAAATTATTAATTAGGTCTTTTATTAATTTATAATATTTTTGGGTTTATATTTTATTTTTGTAATCATGTTAAGGACTAAATAGGTTTGAATTAAACATTTTAGTGACTTTAATAGATTCCATTGATAGTTTAGGGATTAAATAAACTTTGATTTATATACTTTAGTAGATTCAATCGATAGTTCAAGATTTAAGTAGATAATTTGATAATAGTTCAAGCGTTGAAAGTGTAATAAACCCTTTTTAAAATATTTTAGCCAATTTATTTTACTTATTAGATGCATCTTGATTAAGTATATCTAAAAAGTATAAAACAATGTTTAAAATGTAAAAAAAAAAAATTCAAGAATATTAAATTTTTTTTTAATCTAAAAAAAGATTTTGAAAAATCAAACTAAATAGACATAAATAATTTAGAGCATATGTTGAGAAAGGTTACCTACTTTTTTTTTTTTGATCAACAAAAGCCCACTTTATTGATGAAGAAAGTATGAAGGGGGAAGTGATCCAATTTTTGAAGGAATTTCATACTCATGGTAAACTGGTTAGAGGCATCAATAGTTCTTTTATAACCTTAGTGCCTAAAAAAGAGAATGCAGGGGGGGTTGGAAGATTTTAGGCCCATAAGTCTTATAGGGTCTCTGTACAAAATTTTATCAAAGGTGCTATCATGTCGACTTAGTAAGGTTTTGCCCGAAATAATTAGCGAAGCTCAATCCGCCTTCCTTCGTGGCCGGAATATTCTGGATGGAGTCCTTATAGCAAATGAGGTTGTTGATGGGTGGAAAAAAGTAAAAAGGAAGGGTGTGATTTTGAAACTCGATTTTGAAAAGGCCTTTGATTCTGTCAATTGGGAATTCCTCTTCTCTTTGTTGTCCAGATTCGGGTTTGGTGAAAGGTGGATTGCTTGGATTAAGGAATGTGTGTCCACTGCTAGGCTTTCGGTCCTTGTGAATGGTTCTCCAACTGAAGAATTCTCTCCCCAAAAAGGGCTAAGGCAGGGTGACCCCCTCTCACTTTTTCTATTCATTATTGTGGCAGAATGCCTGAATGTCCTCTTGTCCAGAGCTCTAGATTTGAATTTAATCAAGGGTGTTAGGGTTGGGGTTAATGATGTTCTGGTGTCTCATTTGCAATTTGCAGATGATTCTATCATATTCTGTGAGGCTGATGAAGGGGAAATAGTCAATGTTAAAAGGATCCTTCGCTGTTTTGAACTAGTATCAGGGTTGAAAATTAATTATCACAAGAGTGTGGTTTGTGGAGTAGGAGTGGATTCTGTTGCCCTGGTTGATTTTCCTGCCAAGCTGAATTGCAAGACTGGCTCATTACCTTTGACTTATCTTGGGCTCCCTCTGGGGGTTAGTCCCAGCAAAAGGAAGTCCTGGACTCCAGTTCTTGAGAATGTTAAGGCTAGGCTGGCAGGTTGGAAAAGGAGAACGTTGTCCTTTGCGGGTAGGTTGGTGTTGATTAAGTCTGCTCTCTCTTGCTTACCAGTTTACTATTTATCTCTATTTAGAATGCCGGAGGGTGTGGCTAAGGAATTTGAAAGAATCCAAGCAGCTTTTTTATGGGGTGGCTCGGATCTCAAAAGGAAGGTTCATCTAGTCAAATGGGAGGAGGTTACCAATAGTATTGAAAATGGAGGGTTGGGTGTTAGGAAGGTTAGAGTTGCTAATTCCTGCTTGCTTCTGAAGTGGTGGTGGAGGTTTGCTTGTGAGTCAAAAGCTCTGTGGAGAAAAGTAATTTGCAGTAAATACAACATTGATGAGTGCTGCTGGTTGCCGATCTCTGCTGATAGCTGGAAGCAGTCAAAATTATGGCGAGATATTACATCACTGGCCTCTTTTTACCCCTCCATGTTGGAGTGTTTTCTTAATAATTCAAAACACAGAATGTTTCCCAACAAATTCCCACACGACAGCAAGCTGATAATTAGAAGCTTTTGAAGCCCAGAACTTGGAAGCACATCTTACAAAATACAAAGCACAGCCCTCAATTCTCCTTCCTCCTTTAGGTCTTCTCACATAGTTTAAATATAGTGTCTCCTTTCTTCTAATACACTTGTTTACACCTAAAAAACTATATCAATCATTGTACCACACCTTAACTATTATTTTCAAAAATTAATTTGACCCTTTTCCTTTTAATTATATAAATTTTATACTCGAACTATTCAAATTAGAATCAATTTGACCTCTGCGGTCCATAATCAAATGAAATCTGTTGATTTGACCCTCAAAGATAGTATTTCTTGCCCATGTACATCCTAATTTCGATTTGGAACCCCGACGTAATCCACACCGTGATTGTTTCTCACATATATGGTTAATTTCAATTTGGAAACCTAATATATAATTCACACTTGTGACTATTTCTCACATACATGATTGTCAAATATAGATGGGAAACACCACTTTTTCTTCCAAATGAAGAGTCAGGAATCAGGTTAGATAATGTCTAATTGTAGACAACATGTGATAGGATTCAAATTTATCCCAATTCGAATAGCTAACGTGTAGTAAAATTGATATACTTAAAAAGATTAAAAAAAATCTAATTAATTTTTGAGAAATAATTTGAGAAGTAAAATGAAGTTTATTGGGGGTTGTTAACATCAAGATAAATAAAACAAGCTCCAAACAATTTTACTTTTTTTTTCCCCCCTCAGAGGCACACACATGGATGAATTAGAAACAAACCAAGTTATAGATATAACAAACAATTCTACTTTCTAGAAAATAAAAAATAAAATAAAAATTAAGGAGGGTACCTTTCTATCACGGGTGAAATTGAACTTGGACAATCTTCGAGAAATGGGACTTCTGAGAAGATTAATTCATCCATTAGCCAAACTGTATTGCAAAACAATACAGTGCATATATATATATATATATATATTAAAAACTAGAGTAAATTACAATTACTATCAAAATCTCACTTTGATCTATTTGCTTTCAATTATAACAATTAATCCCTTCCTCTTTAAATCAAGTTTCAATGTCATCTTTCCATCCATCTACAGTTAATAATGCTAACGGGAATTAAAAAGGGCTAAGGCAGGGTGACCCCCTCTCACCTTTTCTATTCATTATTGTGGCAGAATGCTTGAATGTCCTCTTGTCCAGAGCTCTAGATTTGAATTTAATCAAGGGTGTTAGGGTTGGGGTTAATGGTGTCCTGGTGTCTCATTTGCAATTTGCAGATGATTCTATCCTATTCTGTGAGGCTGATGAAGGGGAAATAGTCAATGTTAAAAGGATCCTTCGTTGTTTTGAACTAGTATCAGGGTTGAAAATTAATTATCATAGGAGTGTGGTTTGTGGAGTAGGAGTGGATTCTGTTGCCCTGGTTGATTTTGCTGCCAAGCTGAACTGCAAGACTGGCTCATTACCTTTGACTTATCTTGGGCTCCCTCTGGGGGTTAGTCCTAGCAAAAGGAAGTCCTGGACTCCAGTTCTTGAGAATGTTAAGGCTAGGCTGGCAGGTTGGAAGAGGAGAATGTTGTCCTTTGCGGGTAGGTTGGTGTTGATTAAGTCTGCTCTCTCTTGCTTACCAGTTTACTATTTATCTCTATTTAGAATGCCGGAGGGTGTGGCTAAGGATTTTGAAAGAATCCAAGCAGCTTTTTTATGGGGTGGCTCGGATCTCAAAAGGAAGGTTCATCTAGTCAAATGGGAGGAGGTTA